AAACAAGATGATGCACATAAAATTCTTGGTGCAGTGCTTAGCACGTAGTAAGTGTACAATACATGCTAGTGCCTTTGAGCAGGTCCTCATGGCCAGTTTCTGTGCTCAGGGGTGAGAACAGTCGGGCGGTGATTGGGGAAGGGCAAGCAAAGCACGAGGTTGGGAGGGAGCTTTCTCTCCTTGGGCCTGCCCATAGCCTTGACTGACACGACACAGTCCTTGCCAAAACCCATCAATCAAGTAAAATGTCTTTGGAAACCTTGCAACCCACCCTTAAAACTGCTGGGCATAGGAATACAATTGCTTGCCCTAAATAAGTGACTTATCATTGCCCTTGGTTGTCTGAGTTTCTCTTTAATTATAGGCCCTCTTTGAACACTCAAAAACACAGGGCCTTTGTAAACTTGAATTCTCTCCCTCTCACACACAATCCTCCCATATGCGTACTCTCCCTTTCATTTACAGAGTATAAACACCCATCTCTTACTCACNGTATTGGGACTGCTTAGACCAGGAAGGCCTCTCTGAGGAGGTTGTACTTGGGCTGAGACCTGAGGGCATAAAAGGCCAAGCTGAGTTGTTTAGATTTGGCAGCATGGTCTAGGCCCCCAATCTTTCTCTGGGGGAGGAGGTGCTTTTTGTTTCCCAAGGATCATGGAGGACAGGGGGAAGCAGGAGGTGGCAGCATGGAATCCCAGTATGGAAGGATGGCTGCTGATGCAATGCAGAAGTCCCCGGGCACAGCTGGGAGGGGATGTTCCTGTTAGCTCTCCTCCCTTCCCTGTTAGGAATACCAGAGAACTTCAGAAGAGCATGATGAACATCATTTCGGAGGGCCTGGTAAAGCTTGGTAGTACTAGTAATAACAATAATAGTAGCTAGCAAGGATATTAACAGTACTATTAAACAGCATTTCAGTAACACTTTTTATGTGCCAAGCACTGCTGAGCACTTTGAAAAGGCTAACTCATTTAATCCTCATGACAACTAGTCCTGATGATGGTGAATAATCAGAATCTGAAAAAAGTAAAATCTAAGTCCTAAACTTAAATCCTTGTGGCTGCCTCCTTCTGGCCTCTGTGCATCACCTTTTTGGTCTGATCTTCTACCTGGAATCTCCTGCACACACCTGGCTGCTCTGGGGACTGTAGTGAAGACTGATGTCTTCCTAAAAGGAAAGGTAGCCCTGCTTTTGATGAATTTTCAGTCCAGTGTGGCGTTAGCCCAGTCTCAGGAAAAGGGCTTAACACTTAATTACTAAAAGGCAAACAAGTTCAAATTTAATATGCCTATGCTAGAAATGGAACACACACATGCCAAACGGAACTAAGAAACAAGGAACAACCAGAGCTGTGCAAGTTAAATCAAGTGGCTTCCTAAGGAGGTGAGGGTTATACAGACAGGCATAGACAAGGTTTGGAGGGTCTCCTAAATGGAAGAAATAGCTTACATAAAGGCATGCATGCTAAAATAACAGCTTCTGAGTAGAAGCTGCCAAGCTAATTAATTTAGCTAGAGCCAGGTTTTCAGATAAAGCGTAAAGAGTAATGAGTTGAGGAGAGGAGGAAAGCAGCTGGCTGGGTAGCCTTAGACAAGTCACTTTATCTTGCTGGACCTCAGCTGCCTCAACTATGTTGTGAGGGTACTAGGCTAGGTGACCAGGGTACTGGCCTAACGTTTCTGTCAAAGAGGTGTGGGAAATTAATAATTATGGGAATGCTGTGCTAGACACTCAACTCTGTGGGATAGCCTTATCCCTATTGTAGGGATGGAGTATCTTGTCCAAAGATACAGACTGTGAGTGACAAGCTGAGATTAGAATTGGACTGATTCATGTGTTCAGTATCTATGGAGGGATCCTGTGTGCCCAGCATCATGTCGAACGCTGGGGGATAGAACAGTGAAAGAGACAGACGAGGTCCCCTCTCATTCTAGTGGGGCTGAAGTGAGTTACTAAGAAAGCAAACATCCAAGCGAACAGAACAGGTTTAGATAGAGGTAAATGCTACGGACAAAATAAAATATGCAGTCATGATTGGTATTGGGACTGCTTAGACCAGGAAGGCCTCTCTGAGGGGGTTGTACTTGGGCTGAGACCTGAGGGC